GGGGGGGGCAGGGGGGACAGATGTCCCTGAGCGCCAGACTAGTTAGGAGCGCCAAAATGTGCTGTGATATTATTTTATTGATGAAAATAATGGGTTTGAGAGTCGAAAAAAAAGGACAGGGAGGTGAAGTGAATCTTGTCCCCGGACGCCAAACACTCTAGCTACGCCTCTGCTATCGGGGGGAGAACGTTTGGGGGGGGGGGCAGCATTTTAAATTATTTTTTGTATATTATAGGGATGGCATTTTCGGGGAACTGGTGAGGTTGTTTGCTTTGTTGTTGTTGTATTCATGGCAAGGGGGGGGGAGGGGGGGCAGCACTAACCCTAGCTACGTCACGGGTTGGGCACGTGTTGGAGACTTTGTGGCTGTAACTTAGTGTTCACGTGATCGTTAACGTATCGTCAGAACTAAGCTATGTTGTTGTCGTTGTTGTCGTTGTTGACGTTGTTGTCGTTGTTGTTGTTGTCGTTGTTGTTGTCGTTGTTGTTGTTATTGTCGTTGTTGTTGTTGTTGTCGTTGTTGTTGTTGTTGTTGTCGTTGTTGTTGTTGCTGTTTTCTCAGCACACATACTAAATTGTAAAAAAAAAAAAGGGGGGGGGGGAAACGAGGTGGAAATAGAAATGAAAAAGATAAAACTTGAAATGAGTCAGAAATAAAAGGCTGCGCATAGGATAAACGAATGAGTGCACTCTCTTGGCCAAGCACTTGCTGCAAACAAACTGACAAATAAACACATCCATTTTGTCTTGTTGCCTTATTCTGGTCGGTTCGTTTCAGTGCAATCTTCTGAAGTTTTTTTTTTTTTACTTTGTATTACAGAAATATTGAAGAGGTAATGCTATCTAGATATTAAACGAAAATAATGAATGTGAATAATGAATGTGCATAATGAATGTGAATAATGAATGTGAATAATGAATGGGAATAATGAATGGGAATAATGAATGTGAATAGTGAATGTGAATAATGAATGTGAATATTGAATGGGAATAATGAATGTGAATAATGAATGTGAATATTAATTTAAATAATGAATGTGAATAATGAATGTGAATAATGAATGTGAATAATGAATGTGAATAATGAATGGGAATAATGAATGTGAATAGTGAATGTGAATAATGAATGGGAATATTGAATGGGAATAATGAATGTGAATAATGAATGTGAATATTAATTTAAATAATGAATGTGAATAATGAATGTGAATAATGAATGGAAATAATGAATGTGAATAATGAATGTGAATAATGAATGTGAATATTAATGTAAATAATTAATGTGAATAATGAATGTGAATAATGAATGGAAATAATGAATGTGAATAATGAATGTGAATAATGAATGTGAATAATGAATGTGAATAATGAATGTGGAAAATGAATGTGAATAATGAATGGAAATAATGAATGTGAATAATGAATGTGAATAATGAATGTGAATAATGAATGTGAATAATGAATGTGAATAAAGAATGTGAATAATGAATGGGAATAATGAATGTGAATATTAATGTGAATAATTAATGTGAGTAATGAATGTGAATAATGAATTGGAATAATGAATATGAATGATGAATATGAATAATGAATGTGAATAATGAATGTGAATAATGGATGTGAATATTAATGTGAATAATAAATGGGAATAATGAATGTGAATAATGAATGGGAATAATGAATGTGAATAATGAATGTGAATAATGATTGTGAATAATGAATGGGAATAATGAATAATAGCTTCCCTAGCTACACCACTGTGCTGTTAGAGATTTGTATATGAAGTATGTTTAGTAGAACCCGGTTATGTCAACGGTCTCGTGGTTTTCCAAAAGGCGTCGAGATAACCGATGATCGAAATAACCGTAAGCCACTATGACGGCAATATATTAACATGTGCTTGAAAATATTTCTTTACGTACATGATGTGTGTTATAAATGTAGGTACTCAGTTTAAATATATATATGTATATAAATATATATATATATATATATATATATATATATATATAT